GACACGCCAGTGGCTGGTTTTTCTCCCTCACTTCTGCTTTCTTGGTTCATCTCCCTGATAAACAACCTCTTTCCAAGTCCTTGTCATAGAGACTCCGTTTAGGGAAACCCGAGCTAAGACAGGCCCGCGTGCTCCAGGTCTGTGGGGAGTGGGGAGGGGTCTTGAGCTTGCCCCCTCCTTGACTCCATCTTTGTGTTACGTCGAGTCCAGATGCCAAGAGTTTTGCTTCTGTCCTCAGGAACAGTCTCAACGCCTGAGAGAGTAGAACGTTTTTGCATCCAAGCTTTCCATCTGCATCAGTAGAACAAAAGCCCTTTGCTAGACCCGGAGCCTGCGTGCTTGGTTTGAAAGAATATGGTCAGCGTAGCTAAAACAGCGTCTGCATTCTCTGAGGAGGCTGTTCTCGCAGGCTTTTTCTCATCCAAGTGTCAGCAGAAACACTTCTCTTCTCAATGGTCCAAGTGCCTAGGGTCTTTTAAAACCCTCCCAACTGTTTAGACAACCCGTGCCTGGCTGCCTGGTTGTCCCCTCTGATTCCGGTTGGAATCTACTGGAAAGGCTCTCAGTGTTCACTTCTGTGGCTGCTACCCTCTGTTGCCCACTGTGGTGCTGCCTCTTTGTTAGGACTGCTGCGTGTGCCTATGAAGTTTGCATGCTGCACAACTCCAGAGAGTGCCATTTGCACAGACTGTGACATAAGTAACATCCCCTAGACTTGTGCAGTGTACAGCCGGAACAAGTGAATACAGCTGCCCTGCTCTCAACAATAGCAGGCTGCCTTACTGTGCTCTCTGGCTACGGTCTCTACCTGTTCCTGGATTCCTGTTCCATGGCTCCTGGCAATAGGCTAGGACAGCAACCTACATTCTGATGAAGGGACTTGGTCAAAAGTCCTCCCACCAGCCTTGGAGTCTAAAACATTTGCCGTTAGTAAGTACGGGAAGTGAGAGGATCAGAGGAAGCAGGGACTGCAGAGTGATCAGGAGGGATATCAGGAAGGCATCCCAGCCCCTAAACCCTGAGCTCACGGAATGCTCCCACTAGGACTGAGTTTCCAGAGGCCTCTTGCCTGCTGAGGTCAGCCTTAGACCCTTGGTCCCCTTTCTGGGGTCTGGGCCCGTTCCTGGCTCTCTGTCTCTTTGGATCTCAGAGGCTCCTGATGCAGACCTGCTGCCTGGCCTTTCTCAGGTTTGCCAAGGGCCAGATCAAGAGGCCCTTGGGAAGATTTAGGGGAAACCTGGCTGCTGGAACATTCCTAAAGTGAAGGATGCAGGGAAAGGAGGGTGGCGGCATTTAAATCAGAGGGAAGAACTGCCACCCGGGACCTAAGCTCTGGGTTATTTATGCACGTTCAGAAATGGCTTCATGCATCCGGGCGCAATCTAGTGATTTGTCAATGAAGGCCTCCTCGTGCCCCCTGCCCCCCGCCCCTGCCTCTGATAACATTTACAGTAAATCTATTGCACTGACCATTAAATCCGAGGCCGCCTCGAGCGATGGCTTCAATGGGGTGCTGACAGGCCGAGAGTTAATAATGACGCAGACGCTAACCTGTTTATTGATTTGCTTTTTGTTCCCTTCATCCTCGCTCACTCCTTCTCCCTCTCGGAGGAGAAATCTTGGAATTAGTAATCAGGTGACAGCCTCGCCCCCCTCCTGTTCCCAGCCATGTCATCCTGCTTAAACTCTCCGAGATAAATTACCCCTACCTCCCCGGCCCCTGCCAGCCATTCACTCTCCAGTTACTCAGCACAAGATGCCACATCTGTCACTGGAGCCGGCAGACAGAAAAAAACATTAACACAGACATGAAAAGCTTTTAACTTTGACAAGAGGAGCGCAGCAAAGTTTTATATTTAGCCCCTCCAGCAAAGGCCACGGTCAATCCATTAGGGTGGCTTGTCAGACTCAGGGCGCGGTGGGAGAGGGCTGGGACCACGGGTCCAGGCGGGCAGGGGCCTGGCCAGCCCTGGCCTGAGGAGCACGGACCTGGGCCCAGGATGGCCGCTGCCCTATTCTCTTCCAACGGCTGGACAGTTAAGTCATTGGGGGCTGAGGAAAGGACCCAAATGGGGGTCTTTGTTTCTGGGTTGAAATAGAGATTTTAACCTCCATTTTACGATTTTAAGATGTGGCATAGCATCAACCTGACCTGTTTTGTGGCCGTGGCATTGCCAATATCCACAAATAACACGAATCCTTTTATGGAAGCCTGAAAAAATAACAAACAAAGGTTCACTGCATAGGAGGCAAAACTTGAAACTTAAATAAAAAAGAATTATTCATATTCTCCCCAAGAGCCAATCATTTCAGGCTGAGAATAGTCCCTAACTTCTTTTCTTCCTTCTGTTCCTTCTCTCTTCTCTTCTCCCTCTCTCCCTGTCTCCTCCTCCTCCTCTTTCTTGTCTCTCTCTCCCCACACCACCTCCCAACTCTCTCTCTCAACCTGAGCCCTTGCTGGCTCTTGCCCCTTCTTCTCTCCCTCTCCTGAATCCATCCTTTTCTCTTCCTCGAGAAAGGATTTCAGAAGCAATTTCTCAGCATTTTTTGATCCTCCACTCCCTATGCCTTTCTTCAATTTGCACAATGAGGGTTCTGGACCCAGTTGTCACAGGCAGAGTTCCTCCCGGCAGGCAGGAAGGAGGAGAGGCGAGGAGTGCACACTTACGAATATATATATGTATATTTATATATACATGCATTCCTTCTCCAGGACAGGAGCGGCTGGAATGGCTTTGTGGAAGAGACAGAACTCAAATTTGCCTTGGAGGAAATAAAGAGTTCTTTTGAGCAGCAATTGGGAGTGGCACGGGGAGGGGTTGGGATGGAGGCTCCAGGTGGGTCCATGGCCTGGGCCAAGGTCGGGGCACTTGGAGGAGGAGAACGTAGCCACTTTGGGCAGAGTGCTCCTGGGAGGTCAAGCAGGAATTTGTGGGTGGGGACCAGGATACGGGGAAGGCTTTGAATGCTGTTTTAGGCTGGCATCCTCTGAAACCAGCCCTTGAAAGAAGGATTCAGGTACAAGGGGCTACCTTGGAAGGTGAGCCCAGGAAGCACAGGCCAGGAGTTATGAGTGAGTGAGGGGAGGGAAGGGAGACAATGCACGGTGTGTTAATGAGCAGATTGTTGCTTTGGGTAACTGAGGTGTGATCCTACTGGGAACCTCTGGGGGACCCCATGGAACACACCTCCGTGTTGCCCCCACTACCACCAGGAGGGAGGCAGCTGGGGCATTTAGCCACCAACTCTCCTCCATCACTGTTGAGGGCTGCTCTGGGGTGGGAGGGGCATCAGGTCCCTGGTACTGCTGCCTGTCCTCCCTGGGGCTGGGGAAGGTGCCGCAGGAGAACATCTCAAGGGCTTGCAGGAAGAAACTTGGTATTTACAGGCATGGGCAGTGCACCAACAACGGTTGCTACAAACTCCCACCATCAGAAAACGTGTCCTCCATTCATCAGCCAGATGGACCCCGGGAAGGTTTTGGAGCCAGAGGTCTGTGCTCTCAAAGGTTTCTTGAGATGAACTTGCAGCAGAGAGACTGTGTGTTGATGTTTCTTTTTCTCTTCTAGGGACTGGGCCAGATACATCTTTGTATCTTAGTGCACATTTTACAGAGTCTGGCTTATAGTAGGTGTCAAAAAATATTGAACCCCACCTCGTCATTGTCATTATTTTTGCACTTATCTCCTTTCTCTATGAGTTTAAGAGCTTGTGGAGGGCAGAGGGGTGTGCTGGTCATTTTTTACCTGCAGAGTTGAGCATGCGGCTATGTACAAATCTGGTGTTCAGGGAGAGTTTATCAAAGGAATGAAGGAAGGAAAAACCTCCAGGACTTTCTAGGGACTTGGTAAGTGGGTTGAACAGACAGACCCTGTGGATCCTTGCTTAGGGGTATCAAAAGGAGCATGTCTCAGTCCCAGGTGAGCTGAGGGTCCTTTCTCAGGCTGTGGAGGAGGACCCTGGGGTGGGGACACAGGGGAAGGGCGGATTACGGGAGTGCGGCGGGGCTGGGGAAAAGGTGAGTGGACACACCATTCAGGGAGCCCCAGTAGTAGGACCAGAAGCCCAGCCCGAGGTTGAGAAGGAGTCTTGGGGGCAGGAGATCAGCTGTGGACAGATGGTGTCCGGCAGCGTCTCCTTCCTGCGGCATCTCCTTCCTGCCCATCTCCCTGATTTCCTACGCCTTTTCATCCAGCCTCAGGGCCCCAACCAGGGCAAGAAGGATCCAGGATGTTCTGGGTCAGCTCTGACTGGAGCTGTGCATTTTTTTTTTTTTTTGTGAGGAAGATCAGCCCTGAGCTAACATCCATGCCAATCCTCCTCTTTTTGCTGAGGAAGACTGGCTCTGGGCTAACATCTGTGCCCATCTTCCACCGCTTTATATGGGATGCTGCCACAGCATGGCCTGACAAGCAGTGCGTCGGTGCGCGCCCAGGATCCGAACCCGGGTCTCCAGCAGTGGGGCGTACACACTTAACCACTACGCCACGGGGCTGGCCCCTGGAGCTGTGCATTTTTAACACTGGCATAAGAATTCCAAGTTCGGAGACAGGACCTCCCTCCCTAAGGCCATTCTTCTCCAGCTTGCTGAGCCGCCTGCCTCTCAGCAGCTGCTCAAACTCCTCAGGGGCTCCCGGACCAGAGGAAGGAGCCAAACACGGCTCCCAAAGAGCTTGACGAAAAGGCTCCCCCCTCTTCTCAAAGCGCAAGCAGGGGCTGAGGTGGGACTTCAGGCCTTGGAACACATTGGGCCCTGTTACAGCCTCTCCTATGGGGCCAAACCTAGCTGGGTTTCTGGAAGGGACTTGGTTCCCTGGGAGTCCTGGATGGCAAGGACGGGGTCTGTCCTGGCTGGGAGCAGCTTTCCTGGGGGAGGGTGGAGAGCATCCCAGCAGTGCGAGTGTTGGGGGAAGGAGGCATCTGGTGACCCCTGAGGCCAGGGTATCATTTCACCAATGCCAGACGAGGTGATTCCTTGGCCGCTGGACAGGGCGTAATAGCTCTTGCTCTTTGTATGGTGATAAAGGCTGGGAGAAATCAAGCTGGTGCGGATCTGTGTCTCCTGTAGCAGCCACAGTTGCTGAATCTGCTGTTTCTGAGAAAGTGAAATTTCAGTCCCTCCACTCCCCCTTACGGGGCGGCTGTCAGGGGACCTGGAGAGGGCATCAGCCGCCTCCCAGGCCTCTTATGAGAAAACGGACATTCTGTGGAGGCAAATCCCAGATCTGTGCTGACCTGGTGAATCTGGAGACGCGGTCTAGACACGTCTGGACCTTGGTGTGAGGGAAGCTGCAGACAGCTTCTCAGTGTGCCCAGACCCTGGCCTGGCACACTGGGGGCTCCATGAGGAGGGGCCAGAGGGGCAGAGTCCATGCCCTGCCCTCCAAGGAAAGTGGTACACTGCCCTCTCCCTGCCCTCCCACTTTTATTCTAAAGAGAAGACTGGTTTTGCATGGGGAGGGTCACGATGCAGAGAAGATGGGCTAGCAGGCTGGAGAGAGGGAGGCAGGGGAGAAAAGAAGAGTCCACTCAGGTGACATGTTGAGGGGCTTTCGGTGAACTTCGGAGTTAGGGATTGATGGGAAGCTTTTGGGCCTCGCCAGTGTCTGCTGTGTGTCTCCCCAGTCTCATTTCCTTTATCTCCCAGGCTCACAGCTTCCCTTGCAGCCAGGTGGGGGGCAATGGTGTACGCTGCTTCCAGGCCCTGAAACCTCCCACCAGTTCTCGTCTCTCTCTTTCTTCACTGCTGGCTGGGTAGAGAGGACGCTGAAGATCTGGGGAGGCCAGAGACACAGATGGAAGGACTCTGGGCCCCGAGTCACCACCTGGAGGAGAACTGTTAAACCAGGAACACCCACACTGCTCTCTTGCAATTCAGTCATTTGTTCACTCATTCACTGAATCACCCAAGCTTGCCGAGTGCCTTCTTGGTGCTGGGATCTGGGGTGCCACAGTCCTTGCCCTCAGATGTAACTGGAGTGTGTGTGTTTGTAAAGAGGGGTGCAGAGAGAGAGGAGGTGGCGATTGGGTCTTGGGGAAAAGGGAAGAAGCCTTGGATGGCATGGTAAAGAGTTTGGATTTTATTCGGAACGACAATGGGATGCCACTGAAAATTTGGGCAGAAGAGTGAGATGCTCAGATCAGCATTTTTGAAAGCCCACTTGGCTGCTCTATGGAAGAACATCAGGGTGAGTGAGGACAGAGGTGGGGACGAGCTGTGAGGCCTCTTGCCGCATGTGTGTTTGTTCTTGCACATTTTCCCTCCTCCATTCAAAGGACAGAGCCAATCCTCAAGCTCCCTTTTCTCAGGGGAGGCCAGGGACTGGGTTGGAGTGAGACAGAGAAGCTGCTGGAAAACGGAGAAACATCTCAGTCAATTTTCCCAAAACCCAGTTACCAAACTCTCTGGCCTGCAATTTTCAGAATCCATACTTAGCCTGGGGACAGGGATTTTCATGCTCCAGGCTTCTGGAAGCTCTCGCATTCTCCTACATTCCTTGGAGGTTAGGGAGAGGGATTCTTTCAAGAAGGTGCAGCAAATAAATAACAAACTTTGAAGGCGGACTTGTGAATGGGTTGTAAATCCTGCCCCATCAACTTCTAAGCCTTGTGACTTGGTTTCTCCGAGTATCTTGTTAAAAATGAGGTTGTATGAGGATCATGTGAGGGGAGCATGGGAAAGCCGCTGGCTTGGGAGTGCTAACACAGGATGATTTTCCCTCCTTCCTTCCGCCCCCAGGTGCCTGGGTCTGGAGGCAGAAGATATGGAGCAGGTCACTCCACCTGGATCAGACCAGTAGGATTTACCTGCACCTGTGGGCCCAGGACATCCTGCTACCAGCTGATACCGTTAGCCATCAGCTAATAATCTGACTTTAGGACTCTTGAGCCCCCTCCCTGATGGCATCTCTGTTTTGCTCTGGTCAAGCTGCCTTCCCCAATCCACATCTCTTCCTGATAATGAAGTCACACAGAAGGTCTTGACGTGAGTCATCAGTGGACGTGTGAGCTGCTTCTACTTGGGGTGGTGGTGTGCGCTAGGAAGACCCAGGAAGGATGGTGAAACCAATGAGCAAAGAGCCAGGAATCTGCTATCTTCTGGTCTAGTCTAGAAGGCCTGGTGGGGTCCTTTATTGCCTCAGTTGGGAGAGGAGGGCAGAAGGGTGAAAACAGACAGGGAGATGCAAGGTTGAGAGAGTGCACTGACCAGAAAGACAACCCATTCCTGAGTAACAAGTAGCAGATGTGCTTTGCAGCGTATATCTTTGTTATGGGCTGAATTCTGTCCTCCTCAAATTCATATGTTGCATTCCTAACTCCTAGTACCTCAGAGTTTGACCACATTTGGAGGTAAGGTCTTTTCAGAGATAATTAAGTTAAAATGAGGTCATGAGGGTGGGACCTAATCCATTATGACTGGTGTCCTTATAAAAAGGGGAAATTTGGATGTAGAGACACAGACAGAAGGAAGACCATGTGAGGACACAGGGAGAAGACGGCCATCTACAAGCCAAGAAGAGAGGCCTCAGAAGGAACCAACTGCCAACATCTTGATCCCGGAATTCTTGCCTCCAGAACGATGAGAAAATAAATTTCTGCTGTTTAAGCCACCCAGTCTGTGGCCCTAGGCAAGTGATATAACCTTGGAGGGAAGAAAAGTTTCGTAAGTTCCAGCGTTGTACTGATCTGTGCTTTGGCAAATTGAGAACACCAGTATCTGGGGATACGGATGGTGTAGTTGATGAAAATCCTGGATATAGCGTCTCAGCCTTGAGCAAATTCACTCAGAGAGGATGAGAATTCTAAGCAGATTAATGTGGAAGATGTGACCAAAATGTGACCATTCTGACACAGGTAGCCCATCAGGGCGTGGAGAGGAGTCAGCGAATGAAGCAGAATCAGAGAGATGAAAGAAATGATCCAAACAGGACCAGGACAGGGTCTGATGCCCCTAGCGGGGGTCCTCGGCTTCTGCGTTCTGACTTGCACACACCCTACACTGCTCTGAGTCCCATAGGCCCCTGTAAATGGCTTGCTGTAGGCTGAAGTAGGATTTCACACGTCAGCCAGCCAACGAGACTTTTGAGCCATCGTGTTGGTGCTGCCTGCCTCCTGAGTCCAGTTTTAGCAAGTATCCTGTCTTTGTTTGTAGAGCAGTGTTTATACTATTATTTGCACATTATTGTTATTTTGTCTTTATTGTTTTATGGAAATGAATGGAAAATGAGTTTTCACACTAGTGACAAGATACATAGGTCTCATAACCTTAACACAATAGTGACAAAGAGGGAACTCAGAAGGTGTGCTGAAAGAGTAAAAGCTTTAGCTTTGCTGGAGCACATTTGACGTAGGGAGGGTGGCTGCGGGTTGAACTGGGAAAGAAAAGAACAAAATTGAAGAACTATGTATAGAATGGACGTATTTCTGAGGACTGTGTCTAATGGCAAGGTGTAGTTAGGGGTTTCGTAAATGTTCTAGCTCTCTGGGAATGGAACCCCCCACTTACAACACTTAAGTCTACTATTTAACTTTCATTCAAGCCTCACACACATTTCCAAGAATGCGTTATACACCAAAATGGCAGGCGTGCATGGTGAGTGGGGGAGACAAGGATGCCCTCGGTAGTAGATTTCTATTGCTGTGCAACAAATGACCACAAAGTTAGTGGCCTAAAGCAACATCCATCTATCAGCTCACTGTTCTCTAGGTCAGAAGTCCAGGAGGGCTTGGATGGGTTCTGTGCTCAGGGTCTCACAAAGCTGAAATCAAAGAGGTGGCTGGGCTTCTATCTGGATGCTCTGGGAAAGACCCTGTTTCCAAGCTCATTCAGGTTGTTGGCAGAATCCATTTCTTTACGAGGTTCTCGTCTCCAGGCTGGCTGTCAGCTGGGGAAGCTCTCTGCTCCAATGACCATCTACCTTCCTGCTTACATGACCCTCTCCATCTTCAAGCCAGCAACGGAGCTTGAAATCTGACATCCTCTTCTGCCACAGGCTGGAGAAAATTCTCTGCTTTTAAGGAATCATGTAATTAGATTAGGCCCCACCTGGATAATTTCCCTTTTAAAGTCAACTATACCATGAAATATAACATGATGAGTGATACCTCATCACACTCACAGGTTCCAGGGTTAGAGGTGTGGAATGTTGGGGGCCATTTCTAGAAATTCTGACTACCCCACCATCTAGATGGCTGTATACCAGAGCCCTCATGGACCTGGGACCTTAAATCTGTTTTAGGCAAGAAATTCCTGGCTGGCAGAGATTGCTAGTTGAGCCCAACTCATTCTCTCTTCTTCTGTAGTGATGAAATTGTTGACTGGGCACATGGCTGCCTGGAAGAAAGACTACATTTCCCAGCCTTCCTTGAAGCTAGTTGTGAACATATGACTCAGTCATGTGACTTGGTCTGGTCAATGGGATGTAGGTGGAAAAGTAGTGGGGCACCTTCTTAGCTCTTCTCCCCACTTCCTTCATCCCCCTGTTTGCATCATGGACCTGATGCCTGGAGCTCCCTCTCTGGTCACAGGGATGAGGTCACAATGGCAGAGCAACAATGAGAAGCCTAGGTCCCTGCCTTGGTGAAATGTCACATCAGCCCTGGATTACCTACCCAGACTTGTAAGACAGACACAGGAATTTCTGTCTTCACCATTGTTTTGGGTTTGCTGTTACACGTGGGTAAACCTAATCTTAACTAACAACCTGGCCTGGAGTTTCCCTGTTGAGGTTTCACAAGACGGGCTGTTCTGTGGTCTGCAGCTCCTGTCCTCAGCTGGGGCCACTGTCTGTGCCCTCTTCTGGGCCAGACTCCTCAGCTCTGCTGCCTGTGTCCTTCCGTTGTCTGAGCGCTTAGCTGAGACCTGGAGAATTTGTTTAGTTAAGCAGTGACTGAGAAAAGTTGATGCATATCGACATTTAGTGAGAAAATATACTTACTGCATATATTCAGGTGTTGTATTTTAAAGAAAATAATTATTTTTTCTACCATATATCTTAGGGTGTACATTTCTTA